TAAAAGAAATATTTGCAGAATTCTGGAATATGCTTAGAGGGAAAATCTTCCAACTGACGAAAATATACGTTGGTTTTGAAGTTGCATACTAGGTGAAGAAAGATGTAACCAATTACCACAGAAGTCCTTACTATATTATATCTGAAGGAAATTACTCACAAAGAAAAGGAAGATTGAGATGGCCATTTCTAGCTTATTAGCCGTTGTCAGCATTTCTTTTCCAAAATCTAAATTTTTGACGCATCTGACCCACCAAACCACGTTCTGAACTTCGTTTTCGATTAGGAAGGATTGTTTAAAGTGGGTTGTAAAACTAATTTTCTTGTGTCAAAAACCCGCGATAGTTCAGACATGCCATAATGTTGGCTTTTTGAATGTACTTCTTTTCCACCACCTACAAAAGCCGTACTCGCTAAAAATGACTACTTAAATAGCATGTACTGTCTTTATCGATTTTCTATGCCCTTCTATATTCAAAAATATTTTGCAGTAAATATGCGCAAGAATATTCCTTCTTGCGCTTACTTTGTAACAAATCACGCTTTCCTCACGTTCTATAACCAAAAGAAGGGTATCGATTGATCTTAAAAATGTGTCTAATAATGAGATTTTTGAGACCGTTTTATGTTCATTTGAAAAGCATCGCATCTGTTTGTTTGATAATGCTCCTCATTATGCATTCAACATAATTCATATCAGCTGCAACATGCTATGAGCCCCATATGGTATTTGCTTATGGGCATGGAGAAAGGCGTTTTTTTCACATGGAAAGTATACAGCTTGTAGTCCGATACTCCTAAACAAAAATGCAACGACAGATCGGACTTAAAATTTTTCAGGAATTGGATAACTTTAAAACCAAAGGATACCCTTTCTGCGAGTACAAAATTTGAAGTAGCCATGATTTTCTACCAAATAAGTGCAAGAAATAATATTTTGTCAAGGTTAACTATAAAATATATTTTAATTTACGAGGACATTGAAATCGATAGAGAAAGTACATACTATTTAAGTCGTCATTTTTACCGAGTGCGGCCTTGTAGACGGTCGGAAAGAAGTGCATTTAAAAGCCAACATCCTGGTGTAATTGAAATATCACAGGATTACGTCACAGGATAATACTGCATCCCCACCTAAGCCATTCTGCCCAATCGAAAACGCATTTCGAAATTTCGGTTTACACGTCATGAAATCGGTCACTGAATCTACGTTTTTGGATGAGCGTTGATAGGACGAGCGCATTTAGAAAAGTCATACAAAGGAAGACAGGACAAATATGAAAAAGAGACAGTGAGACCCACCCAAGGCGGACAAAGTCGCAGCTGACCAGAATATTTCTCCAAGAAGAGCCGGTATAAAAAGCAGTCCGCACATTGCCTCGCCGTACTTCTTTTGCAGAGGGTCCAACATTGTCACATAACCGAAACTGCGCATCTTGTTTGCAAAGAAAAGTCCACCTAAAATGCCAACCACAGACAATGTTTTTGAAATCAGTGGGAAATCGACTTCAAGGGGAAGATAAATATAGGCCAAACGTGAGTCAAGTTAACTCGAGGTCCGACTAAGGTTTCCGCTGGGCCAAGCTCTACCAACCATTTCACAAACTCATGCCCTTCCGATCTTTTAGACGGGAGCTCTTGGACCAAACTGAAGGTTCGTAGCTTTCCCAACGATTAGGTTAGATCGCAGAGTGTCCTACGCATGCAATTCAACAATCGCAGCTTTTTAATTTCCTCAGAAATCAACTGCGAACTTACATTGGGTCAGTATATTCTAGGTCTGTATGCTCAGACCAGTTAGTACTATACTCGCAGCTGTGTCACGCGGCGTCAGAATATCGGCAAAACAGGCGTATATGGGCTTTTCGTAAGTACCTGTGCTGTTAGTATGGTATCCCTTGCCCTAAAATTCAACAATCATTTGTCCCTAACTGTGGAGATAAGCTCTTACAGCAGCGTGGGTTGCAGATATGTTGCCTGTAGGAAAAACACTTCATCGCGTGCAAAATAGTTGTACATTCAGAATATTTTCCCTGTTTTAGTAGGATCTGCGGAAAATAAGTCAATAACTGCTTATGTATTACTAATATAAACGTACTTAAATGCAACTTTATATCAATAAACCAGACAGGTAGGTAGATAGAAGCCAATAGAAATTGGTAGAAATCTGTTCTGTAAGTTAACTCGAATGAGAACTTTTTCAGTTTTGTGCATGTTCCAGACCTCTGTAATAAAACACAGAGTTTTTCACCTATGCTTTTTTCCACAAGGATTGCCGAAAGTGATGTTTATAATGACTTACACATCGCTCCACGAGGTTCCGTATGTATTCTGGGTACTGATTCGCTTGAAAAAAACTCAGTTTTATGGGGCAAGACGCCTATACTAAACCCTTCGAATGAGTTTCATCAGGTAATATTTGTCTGGCAGTTACCTGTATCAGAAGGGCCTTTGGAGGACAAACGATATAAAGGTACAAGCTTGCTTGCATTAAATTGCTCAATATTACTAGTCAGAGAGGAAGTTCAATGGGGTTAGTGATTATATGCTACAGCTTGTTAACTAGCCCCAAAGAGCATGCTTCCAGTTAGACCCTTGAATATGAGGGGTTTCATTAACGCACTCCGTCAGATGGTTCGGAAATATCCCTTTCCTGCCTAAACTTTGAACACGTGTGATTATGGTCAGGTAGTCATGCGTAACGTCTATGGCTTAACTTTCAAATGGAAGTTTGTATAACGGGTCGGACTATGATGCACGGACGCTGGGCAGTTTTGGCAGGAGTGGGTAGTCTTAAAGATTCGAAAGCGAATTTCGTTCTGTTAGTCAATGTTTAATGTTGGAGAAGGAGGCGCGATCGCTGGGACAAAAGCTTTATTAGCCTGACGTTTCTGATTCCTGTTCGAACCCATCATCAGAGACAAAAACAGATACGGGCAGTTCATGCACAAGGGGCTGCGGTATTTATAGGATGCAGTCGCCATGCTAATGCATACCTATGAACATTCACGGCTCCCCCCTTCATCCGGGATCATCGCACTTGGTGTGCTAATCGTTTGATGGCCGACATTCACGTCGTTAAGTGCTGCAATTTCGTCACGAGCGTTGGATGTTGGTGTGATGATTGCTCGACCATCTGACGCACCGACCCTGGTTTTGGGAACAGTGTGCACCCGTGCGTTCCCCGCGTGGCGAAGATCCCGGATGAAGGGGGAGCCGCGAATGTTCATAGATATGCAGTAGCATGGCGACTGCATCCTATAAATACTGCAGCTCCTTATACATGAACCACCCTTATCTGCTGTTGTCTCTGATGACGGTTTCGAGCAGGAATCAGAAACGTCAGGTTAACAAAACTCTTGTCCCAGCGATCGTGTCTCCTTCTTCAAGACTGCTTCCTGGGACTCGTCTCTGCGCTTCTATTGGCAATGTCTAATGTATCACAGCGACCCACGTACAGCAAACATGCTCTTTCGATCGGACGTCTCAGTAAACATATTGAATGAACAGGTGGTATATTGTGATCTCAACAAACCGTATAGTCCTGGCGCGACGATCAGACGTTTAGAAAGCACAAGCGATGGTGCTCTAAGCTCCAGCGCAAGGGCCGTAACCGGCGGGCGCCAGGCATTTTCGTCTGCCAACAACCGTGCTGCGTGTGGCTCAGTGCCTCTCTCTCTCGGAGAAATTATGAAGGTAAAGAATAAAATGACATCTTAAGGAAAAACGAAGAAAGAAGAAAACGCAGCTCACCAACAACCAAACTGAGCGCATAGCCAAGCGGCGCTTGACAGAGAAGAAGACCCTGCGCAGGATCGTAGACCCCCTCCGCTGTCCCATTGATATAACCTCCGCCAACCCGACAGAGAAGAAGACCCTGCGCAGGATCGTAGACCCCCTCCGCTGTCCCATTGATATAACCTCCGCCAACCCACGTGGCTAAAAACAAATAAAGGAATCAGGAAAAAGAACGTCTTCTGCCAGATGCCTGGTCCTGCCCCTTCCCCTACACATTCATAGATACATATATATAATGACAGCTAGACGCTCACCGATCATGTTACGGGACACGTTCGTTCCGTTGTGCGTTGCGGTTTATACTATAACCCTCGCAGGCAGTCTCACTGTAACTAGTAGTAGACGTAATGGTACAGTGTCAAACTCCATGACCAAAGATCTCGAGTTAGAGCCTCAGGTGTTCCGCAGTTCGGGGTCGGGTATGACTGGCTGGCGACGGCTAGTAAACCGGAAATGACCATTCCGCTCTTCCTTGTCTTTGTCAGTACTATCGCACATATATATATATTCGTGGAAGAGTATCGACACGGGAGCATCTGCAGTTACTACAGCCGGGAACTCTAAGACAAGACGTGAAAAACCCCTTTTCTACCCAACAGTCGGGATAGATTCGGGAAGTCCAGTCTAGGAGTGGCTAGGCGTTCGCTAAAAACAAACTTGGAAATGAACTATCTTGTTGGCTTAAAAATGCCATGTGCTGGAAAAAAAAGGCAGATGATCAGGAAGCGTCAAAAGTGACGTAGTAGTCGGCTGACATAGTTGCATGAAACAGAGAAGATGGAGCAGGGAGCAGGACTAGTCTTCTGGAAGAAGATTAGCGTCAATCATATCAAAGTGCCGGTTGTGATTGCTGCAAATAGCAGTTATGCCGGCAGTGACTATTTAGGCCTTAAAAAAGAGATCACTCCTATTGGCCCTGCGTTCGCCTGGTCAAGACTGAAAAACTGTTTTGTTTGTAGGAGGGAAAAAGAACAAGTACTAACCGGTCATTGTAAAGACGCCAATGAAGAGTCCAATGTCCCGTCCAGCCAGCATGACATCCTCAGAGTCGGTAAGGCCCGTAGCAGTGCTCCTTTTGGATTTTCGCGCTGCCCAGATGCCGACAGCAAGGATGATGATGTAAAAGACGATGATCCCGACCACTCCGGGAATGTTAACCATCACGCTGCCTCAGTAAATCATAGATAAGTGCGTCTGCCTCCGTTAGAGCGGTCTTGTGGGCAACTTTATAGACACAAAAATGTCAGTTTAACATGTCAGCTAGATGTCCGTGTGCATGAAAAACGGTTAAATCCAGATTTCCATATTATCCTGTAAAAATAGGTGTATAGAAGCGAAGAGACGAATCCCAGTAAGCAGTTGTGAAGAAGGAGAGACGATCGCTGGGACAAGAGCTTTATTCGTCTGACATTTCGGATTCCTGCTCGAACCCATAATGAGAGACAAAATCAGATACGGGTGATTCACGCACAAGGGGCTGCAGTATTTATAGAATGCAGTTGCCATGCTACCGCATACCTGTGAATATTCACGGCTCCCACTTGAGCAAGCATCGTTTCACTTGGTGTGATAACTTTTTGATAGCCGATATTCGCGTCTTTAATTGCTAAAAGTTCACCAAGTTTGTTGGATGTTGGTGTGATGATTGCTCGACCATCTGACCCACCAACCCTGGCGTTGGGAACAGTGTTCACCTGTGAGCTAGCTCCCCGTGTGAAGAGAGGAGCCGTGAATATTCATAGATATGCGGCAGCATGGCGACGGCATCCTATAAATACTGCAGCCCTGTGGGCTAGAACCACCCTTATCTGTTTTTGTCACTGATGATGGATTCGAGCAGAAATCCGAAACGTCAAGCGAATAAAACTCTTGTCCCAGTGGTCGTGTTTCCTTTTCCACAATAGGTGTGTGCTGCTTTGTACTGGATTCTGTGCACGAATTAAGCTCCGAAACGGATGCTGAGATCATGAACAGACGACCGTCTGTCCGGCCACCAACCGACCAAGCGAGACAACAAGATTTGGCCAGCAAATGCGCGCAAAGGCCGAGACAGCAGATGTTCGGGGCTTATCCATACCTCTTCATCCACTACCACCGAGGATCAACATATGCGGGCCAAAAGGGCCCGAACATGTGCGCTCATACTGTCCACAGAGTAAGCTAAACTCTAAGAGAGACTGGCAGGTTAGGGGACACTGAGGAGCTTCGGTTCGGCGGTGACAATACCGCTTAGTTTGCAATTACTTTGTGGAACACTGCAGAGTAGGTGTGTGTGTTTTTCGTGTGTTTCTTGTGTGAGCCTGAAGGAATGTAGGTGCTTGCTATGGCTCTCACAGCCAGGTACTCCCTGGCAGTCTTCTGGCCCTGGTTTCTTGTCGGTGAATGCGCTTATGCTCCCGCCGGGTATACAGGTCGTGTGCACGGCCGCCCAGTCATCGTCGTCCTTCTGACCCGTTTTGTTGTTGGTTAAAATCCTAGTCAGATGTTTTTGTGGACCACGGGGTGCGGTAGTACGCCCGCCTAGGTACGGGTCCGTCCGTGCCATCCACCTGCGCCCTCTCCCACCTCCGGTCTTTTTGACTATGTTTTGGTACCGGTTCCCGGTAGGGAGTATGAGGAGAGAGCGCGGTAGATGCTGTGCAAGTCTAACAGCATCATAAACAAATTCACGCACAAGTCACCGTGCCTACTCTCACCTTGATGTGGAGCACACGGTGGGCATCGTCGGCAACGACGGTCGAACTGCCGTGTTTTGCGGTCGAGGGAAGGGTATAATGCGGTTTTGAAAATGTTCTAATTGTGAGATTTTTGATACCGTGAAAAGCCGTTCATAAAGTGTCATGTCACCAAACTTTGCCATGGTGGCTTGTCAAGTTTAAAACATGGCTCATATCCACTGCGAAATTTTATTAACCCCATACCGTCTCCTCTTAATACCGTAGATAAATGTATGGTTGTCCATACACGGAAAATATACGGCTTGCGGTTTTGAAACTTTGAATGCTAGTGTAACGACAGGTCGAGGTTCACAATTATTCAGGAGTTGGAATGGTTTTTTGAAACTCAAAGTATACTCTTTTTTCAGTATAAAATTGTAAGATGTAATTTTCTACCGAATGAGAAAAAGAACGAATATTTTATGCATGTTTTCAATTTAATATAGTTAAATTTTTAAGGGCATCGAAAACCAATGAGAAAAATGCATGCTACATAGGTAGTCATTCTTTTACAGAGCATAGTTTTTGTATGCAGCCGAATAAAAGTTTGTTCAAATGGTGGTATCCTGAGGTAACTGAATTATTATGGAATTATGCTGCATGATGATTATTTTTTACGACCCTACTTAGTTAATATTTTCGAAAGGAAAACACATTTCGAAAATTTGGTTGACATGTCATGAGTTAGCCCCTCCACTCTAAAGTGAACGGCATGGCTTGGACTCAGCACAGTGACAGTACGCAGTGAAGAACATTTGCATGGAATGTGCACCTACACAATAGAATTTTAACAGACGAACATTGTTGGAGGTATGGCATATTAGGCACACGCAACATATCCTGCTTGTATTTCCATTGACGTTTAAAGAATTCCCATGGTTATGGCCTTGGCTATTAAAAAGTTTGTAAGAGTCTTTGCCGAAAATAAGGGGATTGCGAGAAACCAATCTGTATACGGTCTGCTCTGCTGTGGCATTTGATAACGGCAAGTGAACAGAAACCTTTTGTCAAGTCAGAACTCCGTTCAATCACACCTCCGGCCTGGCAGTTGTCAAACGAAACAGACTTTATAAGTTCCCTCAGCATACTAAAACAATGAATTTTGCATCTTTTACTATGCGCTAAAGGTGATGGCTCCGAGGGTTGCCAACTGGGGAGGTAGTGCGGTCTTCTTAACTGAGAGATAGGTGACAATGTCTTCTTCATAATGATGGCAACCCTCTTCGGCAAAAGGTGCGAGGGCCGACTTAAAGTCATGTTCGTGTTTGCATAGGGGGCAGAACGCGTGTGGTACGCGTAGACGCAAATTTGCCTGCTCTGGCTACTGCACACATGTCCAGTTCTAGATTTTGTAGAGGAAGTGAGATCGATGCTGAGCAAGTTGTCAAGTTGTTAGTTCTCGAGCTCGTGAAGGACGAGGTAGAGATTATTTTCGAGTCACTTCCATTGAAGGACACCAGGAAATTATGTTTAAAAGCTCCAGCCTCCCGAGTCATAACTCCAACTGACTGCGGACCGGACACATTATACTCAGAATAAAGTCAACAGAACTACGTAGCAACCTTTATATCTGGCTCCCACAGTCTGCCGTAATAATCTGACCATCAGATTCGTCGACATGTAACACCGATGTTTGATACAAGACGGTTGCGTATTCATCACAAATTCTCCCCACCTACGGCTGAGAATGACTACCTTTGAAGGTCATGTCGATGAAATGTCGTGGTCGAAATTTAAGCAAGATGTATGTCACACATTTGATGTTGTTATTTGTATTTTCGAACTTATTTGAGACACAGAAAACGTTTACTGAAAAGGAACTCATTCCAACTCAGTTTCATAAAACTAAAAATGGTCAGGTTTGGGCTTAATCGGACATTTCTTGATATTCAGGTAAGTTCCTGTGCTACTGAAAAATTTGCGTACATTGCCCTGTAAACGATGATTAACATAAACGGGAATAGTACGAAATAAATCCCTTCTGGAAGCGGAAAATTCGCCTTTGCTTCCACGGAAATCAGATGACGGTGGGTATGAGAAATCGCACTTGTTTTGAAGAAAAAGAGAGCAAATTTAGTTCATAAAATTCCGTTGACGTTTCATATCATAAGACACACCGAGAACAACTAGGCGTAAACAAATATATATGTAGATATCCAGCACACGCGACAGGCTGTTACTCTTCTGTGTCAGCGCGGGTGGTAACTATGTCCAGACAATGTCTTTCAGCAGTCGGCTACGAAAAGAGTCGTTAGCAAGTTTTTTCAATAATATTAAGGCTACTGTGTGGAGAATAATTGATGATAGAACTGTACCCAGACATATGCAGTATGGACCAAAACGGTCCACAAGTAAGTAAAACGACGATTTTATTCGACGTATTATATGCTCATTAAGACTATTCACAGAAACATCCGCCGATGCCCTCTACGGACATAATCAACAAAGCGTCAGAAACTTGAATTTCATCAACAAAAAGCCATGATCAAGCCGTTTGTGAGTAGAAAACTTGTTAGAGAACGTTTTTTTATCTGCCTAAAATATGTTGATTGCCGACCCTCATCCTGGAAGAGCATGTTTGCCTGCGACGAGGTCTTATTTTTAGACAAACCTACGAAGTCAACTCAGAGGGTCATGTGTGGAAAGAACTTCTCGAAAGAACATACTGCGTCTACGGCAACCTTCAAGAACTGTCGGAAGTTGATGGTTTGGATGACCACCAAATTCGGCGAGCGGCCAGTCTGGCAGTCGAATACGGACACCAACAACAGCAAGGTGTTCGTCAACATTGTGAAGGATGTTTTCGATTACAACGATAGCCACCGACGTCAATTCGATATCATAATTTTACACGACAACGCCTCTGTCCGTCGTCCCAAAGAAGCACGAGTCTGATAACGCTTTCAGTCGTAATCCGACTTTTTAGACAAGGACCAGCCTCCCTTCATGTGACCAGTCGATTTTTATCCCTTTCAACAGCCTGGACCTCAATCCTACCAAAAATGTTTTCGTACTTATCGAAAGACATTGACACAGGGCAAATAAGGAACTTTCAATGCAAGAAAAGCTTGATTATATGCTAGAAAATTACAATGAAGAGCCCACTATAGATAGCCTGGCCATCTCTACGTCTGAGAGACTGTCTGCTGTGATAAATGCAAATTGACAGTCAACAAAACACCGATCTTTTGTTATTTTTTTTATTACTGGTCCCATTTTCCCTTATGATTTGCCCTATAATACAGCCACTTTCCAAAATTCTAGTTTTCAATGAAAATTATCCTTAGGTTAGTAAGTATTAATTTACGAATTCAGCTATGCCTTTTTAAGAACGGTAGTATTTTCACTACCGTAAGACTTTGGGGAAAGCTGGTTGGGTGGAATTTGCGTTAAAAGGATTTTCTTGTGCTACCTCATGGCATTTCATGAGTTAGTATGTCTGCTGCATCTGCTTGTCTAGGAGGAGGTGAAACCAGATCGACTTAGAGTTCTATCCCCGCCCATCCATTAGACAGGAATCTCCAATTCCCCTGGACAACAACAAACCGCTCCAAAAGCCTACGTCAGTGGGTGACAGCAACAGCCGATTTGGTGACTATTTAGTTAATAAATCCAGCACTTTTTGTCGGAAGATGTTGGTAAAAGCGGTCTATCTTCCGTGGTCGACTCTAAGTGATAGCCCCACGCCATCCTAACCCCCTAATAACAGTCCAAAGCACTCCGAATTTTCGAGATACAGACTCACACCCAACCCCCAACCTCCATCTGCAGCCTTAACGACAAAACGGGCCCCCAAACGGGCCACGTGGTAGATGAGCTGGACCAACACGGAGGCCATGTCCTGGTAGGCGTTATCGGAATGCGCACCACAACCAATGCTAACATCTTGAGGTGCGATGACAGACCCAGCTGCCGGCAGACGTCGCGCACATTGGGACCCCTGCGGCCCTCCCCATTGACATGGTTGGTCAAAAGCCTGGTCATTTGCTGTGTGGATCAGAGGGTATGGAGTGGAGGATCAAGGTGCGGGCTCGACCGTGCCATCCATCTGCGCCTTCGCCCGCCTGTGGTCTTCTTGATTCTGTCTTGACACCGGACTCATGTGGAGGAGGAGGAGGAGGAGGAGGAGGAAAGAATACGGTAGATGTCGTGCAGGTCAACCATCACTATAAACTTATTCACGCACAAGTCACCGTCCCTGCTGTGGAGCACACGGTGGGCGCCATCGGCAACGACGGTCGTACCGTCGTGACTAACCGCCCTCCTCGACATACATATAAACCCTGTCCATGACGCGCATGTAACTGTAGTGGCTTACCGATGAACTACCAGAACCAAAACTTGTGTTTTCCAATTAGCTTTTCAAGCTGATCATGGAAATATTCGCAGAAATCCCGCTTTCGTTGAATTTTATTGAGAAAAAGGGCATATTTAGCTTTAAAAGACGTCTGTCGTTATGAGATTTTCAGGCCGAGAAATTGATGCCCGTGCACCATTGTATCGGCTTTTGAAGCATACAACGGGGTTCATATTCCTAACAAACTTTTACGAACCCTATTATAAACCTTAATAACATTAACAAAGTTATGATTTTCTTTACATGTACAGCACGTAGTTTAGAAACTCAAGATGCAAGTGCGACTGAAGGATAGGTCCAAAATTATTCGCAACTATGAAAGTTTTTTTAAAAACTCGAAGGATTCCCTATCACCAAGTATAGGCTTTGAAGAAGACGTGAATAACTGTCAAATGGGTATAAGGAAAAATATTGTTGCGCATTATTTCTAAAAAATACACTTGAATCTATGACGGCATCGACAAACAACGCGAAACGTGCACATTTCAAAAATGGTCATTTTTGCCGAGTGTATTTTTGCGGGCGACCAAAAAGAGGCTCATTCAAATTCCGGCATCCCGGTATGACTGAAATATCTTGGGGCTATGTCGCACGATAGTCTGCTACAAGCCCACCAAAGTAATTCTTCCCAATCAAAAAACAATTTCAGAATTTTGGTTAACATTTTATGACGTGGTCCAGCTACTTTAATACAGTGAGTGACCGATCTAGAGAAATGGTTGACCAAAATTCTAAAGTGCATTTTCGATCAGGAGGGATTACTTAAGTAAGGTTGTAATTCTGACTATCATGCCGCACAATCCTATAATATTTCGCAATCGGCTGGATGTCAGCTTTTGATTACACTTCTCTTTAATTTCCTGTAAAAAGCGAACTCGGTAAAAGATAACTAATTAGGAAGCATGCACCTTTCACACTGATTTTCGATGGTCTTATAAATTCAAATATATTTTATAAAAAACATTTAAAAATATTCTCTCCTTCATGCGTTTGATACAGAATCACGTCAACTTTATATTTTATACTCGAAGAAGGATTATACGAAGGTTTTAAAAAGTTTCAAATTATGAGATTTTTAGGACCGTGCACCTGTCTGTTTACTACTGCTTCTCATGCAATGTGCAACATAGTCCGCATCCATTGCAACATTTTATGGACTTTATATGGTATCTTTTTAAAGGCATGGGAGAATGCATGATTCTCCTTACGCGGAAAGCATGCACCTTGTAGACTGAAATCACTAAGCGTTAACGGAACGGCTGATCAGGCTCCAACTTATTCGGGAATTAGAAAACGTTTTTCAAAACCTAATTATACGCCTTCTTCGAATACAAAATATACAGTTGACGTCATTCTGTATCAAACGCGTGAAAGAGAGGTTATTTTTGTTAATGTCCTTCATAAAATAGATTTGAATTGATAAGACCATCGGAAATCAGTGAGAAAAGTGCATGCTTCCTAAGTAGTTATTTTTTACCGAGTTCGGTTTAACAGGAGATTAAAAAGAAGTGTAATCAAAAGCCGACATCCTGCCAAGTGCGAAATATTATATGATTGTGCCGCAAAATAATCATTATTACAACCTTACCTAAGTAATCCTTCCTGATCGAAAATGCATTTTACAATTTTGGACAAAGATTTCATTAGATCGGTCACTCAATGTATGAGGAAATATATGAATACATGAGGCTAAAAAGCTTACTTCTCTGGCGGACGGGCACTTCTTGGAGGGCGCCAACGGGACCGGACTACTGAACAGCGTAGGCTGGCTGGTTGTAACCGCCAATACTGCCGCAAGAATGAGGAGCGAGGAGGAGAGACGTTTACAAGTAGGCCAAACACCGAGCCTGGCCTTTGGAAGGGGAGGGAGAAGGGTGCAGAGAGTGAGAGAGTAGGGAGGACGGCGTCGGCTTGGAGGAGGCTGGTCCATCGCGTTGAGGTGTCAGCCCACGCAGCGCCGTCAAACCTGGCCACTCCCCTCGTCTGCACCAATCGCCACTGCCCGGGTTTGCCCACTGCATTTGCTCAAGTGTTGTTCGATGCTGCTCCGCGTACGTGTACTGACAAACTAGGCGAATCCGGTCTAGGCAGCTTTCAACCAATCAGCTATTGCTGCAGCGGGAACAGCCAATCGGCTGCTGGCAAGATAAATCGACCCCCTGTGCTCGTGCTCGCGCCAGCACAATAAACGCGATCTGAAGTTCGTTTACAGCCGGAAGGGTTGTGTGTTTATGTTTTCCCTGCCGCGTCTGGGCTTTGCACTGCTATGCCAACTGGGACAGGGTTATGAGGCCTGCCTAACGAAGCTTTCCGACTCAAGGGCGTCCTATAAATAACCCGAAAATGACTTAACAATCTGCAAAACCTGGTGGGCGGATTTAATCAGCAGTGCCCGTTATCAGTGCGCATGTTTTGTCTATGTAAAGCAAATCAGCAGCGGACTTTGAGGAATATTAATGTACGTGACAGGACGATCTGACAAATTAATTTAAGATACTGAAACTTGATAAAATGACAGAATGTTGCAAGCCATGTGTACAGCTCGGTAATTGGTTAGGTATAATAAGGAAGGGGGTGGATTACTTTGACGTTTATTTTGGGCTTGGTTCAATTTTAAACTTGTACGAAATCACCCTGTGTGAGGGACTAATGCAAGTAGAATTCAGGAAGAGTCTGGGAAGTTATGCAATCAAGAATGCCGTGGACGTCCAAATGACCAGAGTATCAAAGGGCAGATATGGTGAACTTTTCACGAGTTGCGTGTCGCGAGGTGTACGGTTTCTTAGATTTTCTACGCATACTGGAAACTTCGAAGAGGACAGACGCTACTTTGCAGTATAAGTTCTGCTTCTTCGCAAACGAATTCTGGCTTGGATTAAATTTTTAGGAATTCTCTAGAAGAGTTCATTGTGTTAATTGCACCTGTCGGCAATCTAGCCGTTCATCAGGAACCTGTGATTAGCGTTTACTGCTACAAGACCTGTCATTTTCACTAGGTCGGTTTTCATGAAGAGCTAATGATGGTGTCTGCCTTACCGCACAGCACACTGACCGCAACTTACTGTGTCTAAATTGAATTTCCTCCATAGAAGATATTTGCTTATTTAGTTACGGACACCCAAGATGGAGTACTGAGAAACGTAGAGATGTTGTCACGACATGTCTACTAGGTATTTATAATTCAACATATATTGTAAGCTTTGAACATGATAACGCACGACTAAAGTACATTCAGTGACTATATTTCCTGTTAAAATGTTTAAAGTCAGTAAAATAAAGACGAAAAGAATGAGGCAGACAGATGGCACAGTCCATAATTGTAAAATACATTAAGACGGACTGTGGATGCCTGTGAGTCGTCGTCGAACCGCTGATCCCAAAGATCGTGATGGATGACCAACTTCTGAGCTATCGCGTTGGGACCCACCAGTCCCGTGACTTACCTCTCATTTTGTCTTGCTTTAAAACGTTGGAGGATTCTGAAGCAGTCTGGGCGACCTGTCGACAGGGAATGCGGGACAAAATTCTCATACAGTGCGTGGCCGAAATTCTGAAATGCGTTTTCAATTAGGTAGGATTACTTAGTCGCGGTTGTAATACTGATCATCTTGCGGCATAATCTTATGGCATTTCGTACTCTGCAGGATGTCAGCTTTTGAATACACTGCTTTTCAATCTCCTGTAGAAACCGTGCTCGGTAAACAAAAATGACTACTTAAGTAGCATGCATTTTTCCCACTGATTTCTGATGGTCTTGCAAATTCAAATATACAGTGAGTGACCTATCTCATGAAATGTTGGCTAAAATTCTAAAATGCGTTTTCGATTAGGAAAGATTACTTGGTCACGGTGGTGATACCGATTATCTTAAGGCATATTCTTATAACATTTCGGACTCGGCAGGATGTCAGCTTTTAAATGCATTTCTTTTCAATTACCTGTAGAAAGCGTGCTTGGTAAAAAATGACTACGTAAGTAGCATGCATTTTTCCCATTGATTTTTGATGGTCTTGGAAATTTAAATATATTTTATAGAAACCATAAACAAAAATATGTTTTCTTTTAATCAATCACTAGAGAATCACGTCTTCTTTATATTTTATACTTAAGAAAGGAGTATAATTTGGTTTTAAAAAGTTTTCTAATTGCCGAATAATTTGGAGCCTGATCATTCGGTGCATTAGCGCTTAGTGATTTCACTCCACAAGGTGCATTCGTTCCGCGTAGAGAAAATCACATATTTTTCTATGCCATTAAAGAGATATCATACAGAGCCCATAAAATTTTGCAATGGATGCGGACCACGTTGTACATTCCATGAGGAGCAGTGGTAAACGGCCAGGTACGATGCTATGTGAATGGACATGTCGCGGTCTTAAAAAGTCTCATAATAAGAAACTTTTTAAAACCTAATTATACCCCTTCCTTAAGTATAAAATATAAAGAAGACGTGATTCTCTAGTGATTGATTAAAAGAAAACACATTTTTATTTATCGTTTCTATAAAATATCTTTAAATTCGCAAACCCATCGAAAATCAATGGGAAAGATGCATGCTACTTACGTAGTCATTTTTTACCGAGCACGCTTTCTACAGGAAATTGAAAAGAAGTGCATTTAAAAGCTGACATCCTGCCAAGTCCGAAATGTTATAAGAGTATGCCACAAGATAATCAGTATTACAACCGCGACCAAGTAATCCTTCCTAATCGAAAACGCATTTTAGAATTTCAGCCATTATTTCATGAGATAGGTCACTCACTGTATCTTATAGAAACCATAAGCAAAATATGCTTTCTTTTAGTCAATTAATAGAGAATCACGACTTTTTTATATTATATACTCAAGGAAGGAGTATAATTAGGTTTTAAAAAAGTTTCTAATTATGACATTTTTATGACCTCGAAATGTCCATTCATACAGCATCGTACCTGTCCGTTTACCATTGCTGCTCATGGAATTTACAGCACAGTCCGCATCCATTACAAAATTTTATGGATTCTTAATGATATCTTTTTAATGGCATAGAAAAATATGTGATTTTCTTTACGCGGAACGCATGCACCTTTTAGACTGAAATCCCTAAGCGCTAATGCAACAAGTGTTCAGGCTCCAAATTATACGGCAATACGAAAACTTTTTTTAAAATCCTAACTATATTCCTTCTTTGTGTAAAAATAATGAAGTTCACATGATTCTCCATCAAATGAGCAAAAGAAAGAATATTTTTACTCATGTTTTTTACAAAATATATTTGAATTCGTAAGATCATATAAAACGTTAGAGGATTCTGCGGCAGTCTGAGCGACCTGTCGACAGGGAGTGCGGTACAAAATTCTCATACAAAAGAAATTAAACGGGTCCCATCATCGAGCGGTGACGAAAACTCCGAAGGGGAAATCAGAGAGACAGTCTCTACAGGATGGCGTTTTTTGTGGAAGTGTGCCTGCAAGCAGGTCAGAGGAGTTCTGCCCCGCAAGCGGCGACTACGTGACTTTGACAGTCAATCAGCAACTGCCCAATTTCCGATCGCCGCAGAATCAGCTGTCGCGTCCGTGATCTGAGTCAGAAACGGCCGCCTAAAGCAGGCGAGTCGGTGTGCTCGTAAGTTCATCCGGTCTCACGAGACCCGAGCGCCTTCAACTGGGAGCTATCAACGGATGAACGTCAGTAAGTAACTCCGTGTGTCGTCGACCCATTTTCAATTGCCCCCCTAACTTGCTCTTCTTTTCTTCCTTAATTATATATAAACGCACAGTAGGTGTGCTGTCATAAAAAGTTAATCGAAACTCTGTAATACGTTTCCACTTCGAACAGATTATTTAAAATGTCGCGTTAACCATAATATCGCATGTTGCCACTGTACTCCAGTCACGTCAAGTTGCCGACTTTCGAATGGCTTTCCTATCACCCACCTGCGTAAACTACATTTTCTGGAAAACGACTACATACGTAGCATGCTTCTCTTCCTATTGATTTTTGACAATTTTTATGAATTCAAGTACATTTTACAAAGAGGTGTGCAAAAAATAGTCTTTCATTCACTCAATTGTTAGAGAGTCACGTTTTCTCTAAGTTCTATACTTGACGAAAAAGTATCTTTCGGCTTCAAAAAGTTTTTAACCAGGAGATTTTTCAAGACCGCGAAGCTCCCAGGCGTACAACATTGCTTTAGTACCATTGCCAATGCTGCTTCTAAGACCGACACCGTCTTTTACGCCAATCGCAAAATTTTATGACTGATTTATATTATCTTCTTAAGAACATATAGAAAGGTATGATTCTCCTTGCGCGGAAAGAACACAGCTTATAGTTTTGAAACCCTGGAAGCAAATGGAAGGACAGTTTGATTTCAAAATTATTCGAAAATTAGGAAAGGTTTTTTTTGCACCGAAAGATACTCTTGCTTCAATAAGAAGACGTCATTTGCTACTAACTGAGTAGAAGAGAGAACACTTTGTGCATGCCGTCTATAAAATATATCTGAATTTATAGGAATATCAAAAATCAATTGAAAATCACTAATGCTGCTTAAGTGGGAATTTCTGGCGGAATATAACTTGGGCAGGTGGTCAATAAGAGACTCTTTCGAAATCTGGCATCGTGCCGTGACTGGAATATCGCAGCATTGTGCAACAACGTAATTGACATTGCAAACCTACTTACGTACTCTTTTCGAAATGAAAACAAATTTCTGAATTTCAGTCGACATTTCGTGAGATAGCATACCTACTGTAAGCTCTCCTTATCATCGCAAAGACACTATACCGTACTCCCGAGATAGTTACTAGCTAAAAGCCCAGACACGTGTTTCACCGATATTCTGCCGCTGCGTGACACGGCTGCAAGGGGTGCGGCTCATCAGTGGATCCCCCAACATTGTCTACGCAATTTCTGGTATATTAACTTCAGATACTAATCAAGTAAATA